CCTGCGATATTCTGTTTGTAGAGATCCAGATCTTCTTACATCTCAGGCTGATTTCATGGGTGCTCAGAGTGGTCTGGTAGATATCCAGCTCAATTTCGGAGACCAGTTGAAATAGGGTCCCCTAGTCCTCCGCCATCTTTTCTTCCTCTCTTCACTGGATTTTCACTGCCTGGAATTCTGGTTTATTTTCAAGTAATATATATGTAAATATATATACATACATACATACATAAGTTTATTTATTTTCAAGTTATATATATTTTTTCCATGAAATCTTTCTCATTTGAAATGGAGCTCAGAAGCTTGCATGGCCCACACTTCCCGGCTGGAAGAGCTAGCACTCTCACCCTCATGAAAGATGGAGTATGTCGCCTCCTTTCTCACTCAAACACTATTAAAAAAATACCACGGCATGGAGCACTTGGGTGGCTCAGTCAGTTAAGTGTCCAACTCTCGATTTCGGCTCAGGTCATGATCCCAGGGTCATGAGATTGAGCCCCACGTCAGGCTCCACACTGGGTGTGGAGCCTGCTTAAGATTCTCTCTCTCCCTCTGCCCCTTCCCCAATGTGAGTATGCACAAGCACATGTGTGCTCTCTTTCTCCAAAAAATTAATTAATTAGTTAATTAATTAATTAACATGGCAGCTTCCCAGCCTTCTGGCTGCCATCCCCACCCAGACCCATCCCGCCCCCCACACATAGACACGTGTATTGACACAGAGAGGCCAGGCTGATGGGTTGGTTGGAACAAAGGACCACTGTTTCCCTCCTTAACAGGTCCAAGAGGCCAAGGTGATGGAAGTGAAAATCAATGAGGCCCGAGAGCACTACCGGCCAGCAGCTGCCCGAGCCTCTCTGCTCTACTTCATCATGAATGACCTCAGCAAGATCCACCCGATGTACCAGTTTTCTCTCAAGGTGACTTACACCTGCAGTTTTTTGCATAATCATCGTAATATAGCCACCACAACTCTCTGTGAGAGCTTATCTGTGGGCTTCATTAGCTAGGGCAGGTCTTCCAGAACAAGTCCAGGAAGACAGCTACAGTGCCTTCAGACCAACATTACAATCTTCGTCTCTTTAATTGGGTCATTCAGGACTCACGGGTTACTTCGGCTGGAACGGAAGATGCCTGACTCACTCAGTGAGCACAGATGACATGGTGGGTGCTGAGCTTACTGATGGCGGGGAGGAGGACCAAGAAATATCAGAAGTGACCCCTGCCCCCAAAGATCTTAAAATATGATAGAGGGACAATCAAATGTGCATGTCATTCATACCAGTTAAAGACCAAAGCAGGCTATAATCACAGCCCATCCTTAAGTGACTTGTCTTATTACCCTAATATCCTCAAAGCTACTGCTTTATGGTTGCTGAAATATTTCTAAACCAAAGACGTTAGCAAATTGTAAGTGCTGACTAAACTTAACTTACTAATGAAAAAATAAAGCCCTATAAATTTTAAGCAAGTCGCTAAAAGTATATCTTTCTCCCCTAGGGTGTTCATGGAAAGACCGCAGTTGAAGCGGCAACAGGGGTAGTGGGGTATTTCTGAACAACCTCCTTGTTTGACTTAACAGAGGATAGACACACACACTTACACCCTCATACACACACTCAGAGCACACAGCTCACTCTGGGAAGGTAAACTTCCATATGGGGGCCAAGGTGTGGGGATGGAGGTGAGCAGGTGAGAAATCAGAATGTCTCCAGGACCTGGAGCTCATTAAATTGCAGGTGGCATTTAACCATTTCCATGTCCCCTTCCCTCAACTCAGAGTCTCTGCAGATTACATGAAATGTGTTTATAATATTTTATGGTTTGGGGCACCTGGGTGGCTCAACCAGTTAAGCGTCTGACTCTTGATTTTCGGCTCAGGTCATAATCTCAGGGTCATGAGATCGAACCCCACAAGGGTCTCCACTCTGGGTGTGGAACCTGCTTAAGATTCTCTCTCTCTCCCTCTGCCCCTCCCACCCCTCTAAAAAATTAATAATAATATTTTATGTTTTTAAAAGAAATCTAATACTTAACCTTGTATTCAGGTCAAAGCAACAGATGAAAGAATTATGAAATATTTTAAGACAGTATGAAAGTTAGCATGGTAAGCCTCATAACTGCAAGATCGCTCCCTAGTTCTGAGAGTAGTTGAAAAGAAATTAAATGAAACCCATGAAAATATGTGTTCCCAAAGATGTTGTAAGTTGTTTTGCAACAAGAGCATCCCAATAGAGGCTTGTTTCATCATTGGAAGTGCTATTTGGGGGAGGAGGGCATTTTGGGGCCCCGTATGGTTATTAAGAATCGCCGACCAGCTTGGTCACTGAAAGCAGATTTAAATGCTTAATGATAAGGAGATGAAGTGTCTTCAGAGGCACCAAAACAACAGTACACTTCGAAGCCTTGTGTGATTTGAAGAAAAACCAGCCACAGGAGTCTCCATGGTCTTGGCTTTGGTCTGAGGTTGGACTCGATAGTTGTCGTTCCAGAGAAAAGAGAGGCATTCTCAGAGCAGGGGCCGCACATCCCAGTCCTCTAAATTGTTTTGAGCAGGAATATATTCAGATGTGTCTATTAGCTTTTATACAAGCAAAAACTCTTCAAGAGCCAGTCATGAACAAGCTTGGAAGTTCATAACATGGTTAAGATGGAACCTACGTGATTGTCATTTTTCTTCAAAACTCAGCCCAAGGCAAAGAGAGGGGTTAATGAGACTTCACTTGCCAGGTGCTCAGGGTGTCTTGAGAAGGACAGCACCTTTCTGAGGTTCCCTGTGGACTGGAAGGCCTGGTTCCCTCTGTCATGCACCTTACATGGAGGGACCCAGCTGGAGGAATGAGGTTTCTCAAAGAGACAGGGAAGGGAAGAATCACACAGAAGCAAAGAGCACAGAGCTGAAGGCCTGTTGACCTATTTTCAGAGGGCTTTTCATATACCTTCCTTGGGTGTGAAGATTTAAAAGTGAGGAGATTTCATACAAACCCAAATTTCTGGCTTCCCATGAAAGTCTGTAAGATTTGGCAACACTGAGCTTACGCTCCACGCAGGGCACGTATTTGCCAGAGCTAAGGGATGGCTGCTCCCAGATGGGCTCATGCCTCCCTGTGGCCATGTTCTCCCCCCTCCCAATTTGGTCTTACACACCCAGCCCCTGGAGGCATTTGAGTTTGAGATCCCTGGTCTGGAGCATCTCTCATGCTCTGCCTAAGCTCTTCAGGGCACTAGTGGGCACAGTCATTCATTAACAGATCTTTCCAGTGACTTCCATACGGGAAGAGCTGGGCTGGATTCTAGGGAAGAGAAGAAAGTTGCTGAGACCTGACCTCAGTGTGCCCACAATCTGATAAAGGACAAGATGAAACATATCTTAGGCACAAGGCAATGGACAAGGGCCCTGGAAGGGCAACGAGGTGGCTAGAGCCAGCCATAGGACTGTGTGTGCAGCAGACGACCTCCAAGAGGGGTCATGCAAATGGAAGTCAGCCCAGCGCTGGGCTCTGCAGACACTGGAAGTGAGAGCAGGACAAGGGGTCCTTTTTAGGACAAAAAGGAAAAGTGACCCAGAGTTAGTGGAGGGTAAAGAAAATGCTGAGTGTACTTAGGTCCTTAAATGTTCTTTCGATCTTTTCCTGACTTGCGAATCACTTTGTTTAAGCTTAGTAACTAGAATATTTACCGATTGCTGTCATTTCAAGAAAGAGAGTTTTAGGGAAAAAAAATACCACACTAACCACTGGGGGGAAAAGCTACCCACGCGGTCTCTTCAGACCTACTCTGCAAGGGGAACTTTCTCAAATTGCTCTGTGTGGAACTGCAGGGCAAGATCTGCTTCTACCAAGCTGTTCTTCCAATCCCCAGCCTTCCAGGTGCAGGGAAACATCCCAGGGGATTGGGTTGAGGGTGGTCAGAAGATGTTGCTGCAGTCCTCAACACTGAATGAAGAAGGAAGGCTGCAAGTGTTTCAGTAACAAGAAATACCATGGTACTATGAAATAGAGGAATTCATATTCCCCGCCCCCCACTTTCCAAACGAGGAAATATCGAGACACAGAGCTTATATCGTTTCCATTGAGGTTCAAATACCTGGTGTTAGAAAGACCTAAGAATTTTTTTATTTTCTTTTTGAAGCCACAAAAGGAAAATAGAGAAAAGACTGGAAATCTGCTTAGCCATGAATTGAAAAGGCCCAATGATAGCTTGATTTCAATTTTCTTTAATGATGTGCTGTATAAATATCACATTCAAAATGTAGCATTACTAATATTTACTTTTATAAATGCTGTATACTTTAAAATAATGAAAAATTGATTCATGTAAATTGGTATTTCATACAAAAGCCTTCATGTTCAGAAGGTGTAGCCGAAGCAGGCTATGCTCCCTGCTCCCTGATTGAGGGAGGGGTCTATCAGGAAATAAGGAATGTGTAAGTGGACTCTCCAAATGAATGCACAGTTCATAGGAAGAAAAACAACACATGAGATTCTGATCATTCCCAAATGGAAAAATAATTATTTAAAAATATTCTGAGTGCCTAGGATGTTTACAAGGGGCCCTTTAAGACAACAAATTTGCCCAACACATTTTGGTTCTACCATCAAGAAATCTGGAATTTACTGGCTAGGATCATTAATCCCAACTGGTTATTGTTGGCTGTTTTTTGGAGGTAGTTATCCAACAAAACTTACTGGATCTAATTTAATGATGTGGGCTACTGGATAGTTACTTTTCACTGGTCCAAACTGTAGGCTCTTGTCTGTATGCCTCAAAGCTTTGCCCACTTCATGGCAACGTAAATAATTCATGTAAGCAAACTAAGAAAAGAGCTAATAGCATGTTGTCTTGTTGCCTCCGTCCCTTCTTGGCAGGATATGCTGGGAAAACATTTCTGTGGCTGGCAAATTACAGTGTTCTTCACAGGTTAAGTCTACTAGCTATATACAAAGAGAGCTGTGTCAATTACCAGTGTCCAACCTCCTGCCCCCAGGCATTCAGCATCGTCTTCCAGAAGGCTGTGGAGAAGGCTGCCCCAGATGAGAGCCTCAAGGAGCGTGTGACCAATCTGATAGACAGCATCACCTTCTCTGTGTACCAATACACCACCCGTGGGCTCTTCGAGTGTGACAAGCTGACCTATCTTGCCCAGCTTACCTTTCAGGTAAAAGTGGGTTGCAGAAGTTTCTAGAAAAGAGGTCATTTTCCAGTGCCCAACCAGCAGGTGTAAAGAAAGTTTCTTCTTTTCACAACACTTCCCATAGAATGTGAAGACAGTTTGGCTCTAAGCAGAGGCACCGGACAAGAAGGTCCAACATGGCGCATGCGTCCTGCCTCACCGTTGTCCCACTCATGGCAGCCATGGTTGATCAACTCTTGTACTTCTTGTTTTCCTCGGATTACCTAAGCTCCTCCCCAACATAGCCCTCCAGCAGCCTACCAGTTTGTGCCAAAGTGGCATAAACAGTGGAACTCAATGGCCATACAAATAACTAGATACTTTTTGAGATGCTGTAAGAAATTTACAGCATCCTCATTATTTATTTACTTTGAGAGATGCGGGTTTAATGTCCCAAACTTCCGATGGAATAAGAAATTACAAATGTCTTTCCATAGCCACGGCAGCCTTGGCCTTGAAGAGGCCCTTAAGAACTCTGATTCTCAAGGGTTTGGGCGCATCAGGAACTTCCAGTGTTAATGAGAAAAACCTTGTCTTCCACTTATTCTCAACTTCAAAAAGCCAAGAAAACTTATTTTCTTGCATTTATCCCTCTAATCATTTAGGATTGGGAATTTTTTCCATAAGTTAATTGGGAGCACACACTAGATTATCTTGAAGGCCTCTTTCAATTCTAGACACCAGACAGTCTGTGATCACTTCTGGGCTGACTCTTTTTGCATGTTCCAAAGCCTGAATGCATGGGGGAGTGGTAGTGTGGCTTGTCCCCCTTACCCTCTGTATTCCCTCTCCAGCCCAGATGAGTGTGGCCATCATAAAAAGAACTTGGAGCACCTGGCCGGCTCAGTCAGTGGAGCATGCAACTCTTGATCTTGGGGTTGTGAGTTTGAGCCCACGTTGGGCACAGAGATTACTTTTTAAAAAATTTTAATTTGGGGCACCTGGGTGGCTCAGTCAGTTAAGCATCCGATTCTTGATCTCAGCTCAGGTGTTGATCTCAGGGTTGTGAGTTCGAGCCCCACGTTGGTCTCCATGCTGGGCGTGGAGCCTACTTAAAAAAAAAAACTTGAACCCCAGCATCTTCCCTCCTGACACTCATTGCCCCCAGGCCCCAAGGAGCTTCCAACCCTAGATTTCGCTCTTCTCTCCTCATAAATATTTTAACCTCATTTTACCAGGCCTTTATCCCCCCTTAGAGACTTTTCCTCAAACTTGCCAAATTATTATTTCTTAGTGAGCATTCCCATCTGTTCTGAGCACAGAACACCATTTAAAGGGGGATGGACAATTCCCCAAGCACCTCTCGGTGTGAATCATTAGCTCTAGAGCTCGCTCTACCTTCCCCTGCACACTCCTCACCAACTCCCCCTCCTAGCCTCTGCCCATTCCTCAGCCCCTTCCCAGAGCACCTTCCCTCCCTGCCTAGATAGTCCCACCTCTTAGCTTCTCCAACACCCAATTCAAAACCACATATAGAAGGTTTAATCAAATTAATCTCCTCACCCCTGCTTGCTGGCCACTCCCCTATTCTGGAACCTTTCGCATTATTGATTCATTTATGCATTTCTGTTTTGCGTATATCCACATGTGACTTCGACATTCTCCTCAAATCATGTCATTTGTATGTGTCATCTTCTTAATTCTCTTGCGGGGATGTACTCCATGGCATTTAGGACTGATACACAAAATGCTTGCTAACCCAGGTTTAGGGTTGGTTATTTGGGGCGAATACACACGCACCCAGGAGTGATTTGCACAGATACCCAATTTCTTCCACTCCACCCTCTTTCAACAACCAAAACTGGTGGCAAGCTCTAGGGGGTTCAAAGCAGCAATAATTACCCTGAGTGCCAACCCCAAGATCTCCAGAACCCTGTGACTCCCACCCCCTAAAGAAATGTGGTACCATTCTTCTACATTGCAGATTCTCCTCATGAACGGGGAAGTTGATGTGGCAGAGCTGGATTTCCTGCTTCGATCTCCAGGACAGACGGGCATCACCAGTCCCGTGGGCTTCCTCTCCCATCAGGCCTGGGGTGGCATCAAGGTCAGTAGAAAAGGCCCCCAGGAATAAGTCAGGTTCTCATCTCTTGGAGTTTTTCCCCATGAAGTCAGCAGGGCTGCCTTTGGGGGTTCTCGCACGGAGCTGTGTTAAACATAGGTGCATGCCTTTACCTGGCCCCCCACAGCAGAGCTCACGGTTCCCGGGCCTGCTGGGAAGGCTCTGTAGAGGAGCAGGTACATGCAAGTTAAGGGCTCTGCCTCCAGGACGTGGGGAAGCGGTAAGATCGTGCAAGCTTCCCTGCCTTGCGCCTGCCTGCGCTTAGGGCTGGCATGTGGACCCCTCCGTGAGGCCCTGGGGCCGGCGCGGGCGTGCTGCAACAGGGCTTCCAGGAAGCAGACAGATGCCAAGCTCTGTTCAGGCATGTCAGTGTGAGTCCCAACTCAGCCTCAAAGCAGGGGATGCATTCCAGCCTGGGATTCTGTGGTTCATAATAGCTCACATTTATTGAGCACCTTCGAAATGCATTTTCTTCTCACGTTCACCCAGGAGGTAGGTGGTATCTGTTCCCCTTTAATGCAAAGCCCATTTTCTTGCCATGTTGTGCAGCTTATTTTTTTTAAGATTTTATTTATTTGCGCGCGAGAGAATACAAGGCGTACAAAGACGCCTAAGAACGTACATGTATGTGCATGCACACAGCGGGGGCGGGGTTAGAGGCAGAGGGAAAAGCAGATACCCCACGGAGCAGGGAGCCCGATGCGGGGCTCGGTCCCAGGACCCTGGGATCATGACCTGAGCCGAAGGCAGACGCTTAACGACGGAGCCGCCCAGGTGCCCCCATGTTGTGCAGTTTAGTTTAGTTGGGATTCTACGGACGTTATTCTATGAAAAGATCACAAACTATAAGCTCCTTTCTGTAGGGACCATGCATGCATGCACAGGGGGTGACATGATGCCGGGCAGTAACGTTAACGAAGTGACCACCCACCGCAGACGCCTGGCCTGCTGTCCACGTGGGCAGCTGTTAGGTCCACACCTGAATGAGTACACACAGCAGATGCTGATGCTCTGGGAGCTCTGGCATCTACACAGAATGAACCCTGTTTGTGATCTTCCATGTTTGTTCCATCTTCTACACCGTTCATAGAACAAAAAAGAAGGAGTCTAAAGTAATAGGATTGGTTCTCTTTCTCTTTATATTTTTTTATTGATTTGTTTAAATTTTTGAGATAATATAAATTCACATGCAATTATAAGAAACAAGAGAAATGTCCTTGGTACCCTGTATCCCTTAGTGATAACATCTTGCATTCCTGTCATGCAACATCACATCCAAGAAACTTCCATTGATACAATCCACTAATCTTACTGTGATTTCACTAGTTTTTATGCACCTGTGTGTCTGTATGTGTGTTTAGTTTTTCATATGTGAAGATTCATGTAACCACCACCCTGGTCAAGATACAGAAAATTCCATCACTATAGGGATCCCTCATGTTGCCCTTTTTAACCAGAACAACCTGCCCCCTCCCCTAATGCCTGACAACCACTAATCGATTCTTCATTTGTATGATTTTATCCTCCCAAGGATGTTACGTAAATGGAATCCTACAGTACGGAACCTTTGTGGACTGGCTTGTTCGCGGAGCATAATTCCCTTGAGAGCCATCCAAGTTGATTTACTTTATAACGGAAGCCCAGAACTTAATATTTATACGCATGCTCTCCTCTTCAGAGGGACCATCTTAAGAAATTCAAGGCTAATTCCAGTCATTACGCCATTGCCCAAAATATTTTTCTAACTTCTTTGTCAGAGTCTGCAGCTATTCTTTTCATCGTCTGTAGCTAAATCAGGGCTGTATCTAAATCAAGATCCATTAAACTTTCTGTACAGGGTCACATAGTAAATATTTATGCTTTGAGGGCCAGACTCTGTCACAACTACTCAGCTCTGCCAAAGTCACACACAATACGGAAGCAAATGGAAATGGCTGAGTTCCAATAAAACTTTATTTACAAACACAGGTGGTGGGCCAGATTGGGTCTGCAAGCTGTAATTTGCTGATTCCTGGCCAAAATAATAAAGGTGTGATTTGATTTTCATCTATTAACTGCATTTGTCATCCTGGGCTCCATCTGGCAAATAAGAAGAGGAACACTACATTGGAAAAGAAATAAGGAAGAACCCCATTCACAACTTCTAAAATGCCTAAGAAAAATCATAATAAATGCAGAGATTTGTGAAGATATGTGTAGAAAACCATCAACTTTCCTAGGCTACATAAGATATGAATGAATTGACATACTCTAGAGTAGCACTGTCTGAAAGAAATATAATGCATGTCCCATATGTAATTTAAAATTTTCGGGACACCTGGGTGGCTCAGTCAGTTAAGCGTTTACCTTTGGCTCAGATCATGATTGCAGGTCCTGGGATTGAGTCTTGCATCAGGCTCCTTGCTAAGCGGGGAGTCTGCTTCTCCCTCTGCCTGCCACTCCCCCTGCTTGTGCTCGCTCTCTCTCTCTCTCTCTCTGACAAATAAATAAATAAAATCTTTAAAAAAAATAAAATTTTCTAGTAGCCACGTTGAAAAATATAAAAGGAAATAATTTAATTTTGATAATGTATTTTCTTTAACCTAGTGTAGCCAAATTACCATTTCATATGCAGTTGTTATAAAAATTATTAATGAAATATTTTATATTTTTGTATTTGAATTCTGGTGTGTATTTTTTATACTAATAGCTCATTTCAGTTCAGATGTTAAATTTTCATTGGAAATATTTAAGGGGCGCCTGGGCTGCCTCAGTCAGTGGAGCATGTGACTCTTGATCTCAGGATTGTGAGTTTGAGCCCCACATTGGGTGTAGAGATTACTTAAATAAAATTCTTAAAAAAAATACTTGATAAAGTATTTAGATTTCCTAAAATTTAGATTTAAAATCATTGATTCCTATACCTCAGTTGTTCCAAACATACTTAAAAGTTTTCCAACTATGAAAGCAAGTTCCAGTTTCTAAACCTAAATTTTAAAATAATTACAATTAAGTGGATTAAAAACACAGTTCCTCAGTCACATGAGCCAATTTCACCTGCTCATTGACAACCTTGTTGGACAGTGTAGACCTAGAGTTGAGAATAGTGCCTCCTAGTCTGATGCCCTTATGGAAGATAAATTCTGGAAATCAGTTCTGAATGAGCCCCTTTGCAGAACTGCTGCAATGATGGACTGGTTAACACAGGCTCTGGAGTCAGACATTCCTGGGTTCAAGTTCAAGTTTGAGTGTCTGTGGCCTCTGGCATATTATCTTATTCCTCTGAACTTTTCATTCCTCATCAGCAAAATGGCCGTCATCATACCCACCTCACAGGGTTCAGTCGAACAGACAGTGAATGGTCAGTAAACGTGAACTGACTGCAGTAGCTAGTTTCCTTGAGCTGCCGTAACAAAGCACCCCAAGCTGGGTGCTCTCGCAGTTCTGGAGTCTAGAAGTCTGAAATTAAGGTGTCTGCAGAGTCATGCTCCCTCCAGAGCCTCTTGGGAGAGGTTCCTCCATTGCATCTTCCAGCTTCTGGTGGCTCCAGGTGCTCCTTGGTTTGTGGCAGACTCAGCCCATCCCCATGGTCTTCACGTGGCCATCTTCCCTCTGTGTCTCTTCGCATCTTCCCTCCTTATAAGAACACCAGTCATAATGGCTTAGGGCCCACCCTAGTGACCTCATCTTACCTTGATTGCACCTGCAAAGACCCTGTCTCCAAATATAAGGTCACATCCACAAGTCTGGGAAGTTACTTCTCCAACATGCCTTTTTGGGGAACACAGTTCACGCCTAAGATTTACGATTATTCATCACCCCGCTGTGGTGTGTACGTACGCTGATTGATGTGGGTCATGCCTGATGGCATTTGCCCACTGAAGGAAAAGCGTTGAGGAATTGTGAGTTTGGATCAAGTCCAGTTGCCTTTGTCTATATTATCCCACAAAACCCTCTGCAGCAAAAGTCAGAAAGAATAAAGGATTCAAAGCCACTCCCTACTATTTTCATTTTACGTTACTCCACTCCGAAGCTTCTGTGCCACCTGGTTCCATCTCTCTTTTCACAAGACGGATTGTTTGCTTTGCTTTACTTTACTTTGCTTTTTTGTTTGGTTTTGTGGGCTAGGCTCTTTTAGAAATGCGTGAAGTTTTCTCTCTCTTTCTGTGAATCGTGTTACGGGGAGCGGCAGAGTCCAGACCTGTCCAACTCAAGCACAGGGCCGGATGTGAGCAGATGAAACAGAACGCAGTGTGTCGTGTACATCCCTGAAGCCTTTGATAAATGCTCCTTTTAAGTGTTCGGTTGGATTTCAGCCTGAAGAAACAAATATGATTGAATAAGACATGATAAAAAAATGTCTTTTAATTCTATCTGAGGAAGGTCGATTGCCTTGTTGCCCTCCAAAAGAACTAGAAAGCGGGTAATGAGTGAAATCTGGGTGATAAAACACTGCTTTTATTGTTTACCCTCTGTAAGGATTTTTTTAACTTAAGTCTCGCCAAATGCTGAACTTGAAGGTAATGGGCATGTTCTGTTTCTTCATTATAAAAATCTCATCTGTGATGCACATCCCTGTCAGCCTCTCCCCAACCCCTCCGGATGCCAATTGAGCACAGTTGTGTTTTGCTACACAGTCCAATGCAATTAGGTTAATTAGTCATTTCCATTTAGCTTATTAGAAGGCTAGAAATCCCTTTCCCTCATTTGGGAGATTAAATGGGGCCATTGTGTTCAACCCAGAGCTTCAAGAAAGTCCGTCCCAGACCCAGTCGCAGCAGCTGGGGACACTGATCAGAGTGTCATTTGCTCCGTTTTGTGGTGTCGCCGGAGGGGGTAATGGGCGCTCAGAAGGGTTAATGGTGATGCAGGCTGGGAGGAAGATGGGAGCCAGTTCCTCAGCCCAGAGAGAAGTGGTTACAGCAGCAGCAGCTTTTCTCAGCCTGTCAAGAGCCCTCCTGCTGTCCACACAGATGTCAGACTTTATTAATTGAGCACTTTCTAAGTGCCAAGCAGCCTGCAAGGCCAAGGCATACAAAGCCGCCTAAGAAAGTTCTTGCCCACAGGGAACTCACCGTCTTGTGGGAAGTGGCAGACAAGTACACCAGCAACTGTGATTCAATAACTGTAGGCACCCCAAGAAAGCACCAGGGAGGGCTTCAAAGCACTTGTATCTGCATTAGAATATAAGCTATGCAGACAAGGATGACTTGGCCTTATTTTCCAAATGAGAAAATCAAAGCCCACAAAGGTTTAAAAACAATCTCTGAGTCACAAGAGGCTCCTAAGAGGGGGCCTGAGACCAGAACCTTCGACTCCTGGTGCTCCCTTCTCCATCCTTCACACCGCTCCCCACCCTACTTCTCAGTACGAGTTATGCCCATCCCCTGCTAAGTGGCCAGGGTGAAGTTGGGGGACCACGGAGCCCATGTGAAAGGGCACATAAAGACAGGACATGGGTTCATCCGCATGGGAAACGAGCCAAGGCAAGCCCAGGTTAAGGGTCTCTGTCCTTCTCCAGCTTTACCTGCCCCCGGTCACTGGTAAGACTCCTCTCCTGCAGTCACCCTGCTTTCTGACATGTCCCACACTCTTCCCTTTCCAGACGTTGACTCTTGTTGACCCCACCCTACAAAATGCCCTTCCTTCCCTTCTCTTTATCTCTGTCTCTGCCCAACTGAATTCTGTATACCTACTAAGGCTTCCCTCATCTCCTCTTTCTCCTTAACTTAGGACTGCAAGCTCCTTGGAAGGCATGTGTCCTTTCTTGTTTTCCTTTGTATTCCCAAGTACCTGGCATGTAGTAGACATTCAATAAATGTTGAATTGAATGTATGAATGAATGAATTCAAATAGCAAGAATGTATTGGGATCCTTAAAATTCGTGGCATTGTGGTAGGTGGTTTGGACATAGTCTAGCTTTTAATCTCATTGAGAGACCAAACATACAAGCAGAGTTGAGTAATCATGGAAAGATTGCAGATAAATGTCCCAAGTGACTAAAGTTTATGTGGGCACTCTGGAGAAATGGAATGAGAAGAAACCCCACCCAAAATTTTATTCTGATATCAAGACTGATGATGCCACACACATACCAAGAGAGTATTAAAGGGTTTATTACTCACATAATGAGTCTTTCTGGGAGAGCAGAGGAGCTCCCAAGCAGTCTGAAAATGACTTGGGGGAGCCGAGGAAGGAGACCCCCTTGGAGTTTTTTGGTAGTTTAGGGTTGGGGCCAGGGTGAGTATTCCTGTACATGGGCAGGAGCTTACATGCCACAGCTTCCCTCCAACACCAGAGGAGGGAGTGCCAATGCTCACTTATCAGCTTGCCTGGATGTGGAGCAGAAAAGGAAGATGGAGGGATAAGACTTTAAAGCCATCGCATTCAAACACCTAAAAATTGAGTCAGACCCTTTACTAAAGATATCAACTCCACAGGTAGTTCCAAGTAGCACACACAAGGAGGATGGGAAGGTTCTGTGTTCTAGGTTAGAGAGGATGAACCTGAGAGAGGTTGCTGATTATGAATGGGACTTTAACAACTTGTAGGACCTTAACACATACTAATCAGGACCAGCACAAGAAAAGGAAGGAGTGGAATTGGGGGGAGGAAAGAACAAGGACCTCTCACATGGTGGAAGTAGAGTAAGTGGGGAGTTGAGTTGGTAATGAGTCTAGCACAGCTCCAAGGTTGGCCACAGATACTCTTGGACAGAGTAGAAGGGAAGCAGGATGCCCGGTTCACTGGATGGATCGGAAGGAAGCACTAAATGAAGACATTTGATTACCAAGTTACGCATTTGTGCTTCATTCTTATGGAAACAGGCAACTCATGGAAAATTTAGTGTTGGCATTAACACAAAGTCAATGATGCTAGGGACACCTTGAGAGAGAACTTGACAGGAGTTGCCAGTGGAGTGAGTCCTGAAAGGAAGGAGTCAGAGACTTAAAAGGTCTGGGCTCCATGACCAGAAAATTCATGGCATCCTTTCTTGTCCCTCCATCCAGGCAATACCCTGCAGGCAAGTGCTGCTCAATCTCGGCTGCTACTAGTAATCCAAACACTTTATTTGCTAAATCTTGCACGTTATTGGTGCAGTTTGCTGATGGTGACTTGAAACAATACCCTTCTGCTTCCTTGAGTTTAGCTGGGGGGAAAGATCCAAGATTCCAGACAAGAGTATGAATGAGACAGAATTATATCTACACTATTATCTTGTTCCTTGACCCCTCCCCCAACACAATGAAAATTACAGCTTTCTGGAGAAACTGCATTTCAGAGCAAGATTCTCTAAAATTTCTCAGGCACTTTCATCAATGGAAGGATTCTATAATCTGGATCGGGATATTGAGGGATCTGCCAAGAGCTGGAAAAAGTTTGTGGAATCAGAATGTCCTGAGAAGGAGAAGTTTCCACAGGAGTGGAAGAACAAGACAGCCCTGCAGCGCCTCTGCATGATGAGAGCCATGCGGCCGGACCGGATGACCTACGCCATGCGGTATGGGACACGGGAGAGTGGGGAACCCCAGGGCAGGCATGGGGGAGTCTCAGCATGGCCCAACTAGCAGAGCTGAGCACAAAGGTCACGTGTTCATAGTAACAGGAGCTTTTGTACCAACATCCCAAATCCCACAAGGCCTATGGCTCTGTGTTTGCCACGTATTTTCTTAATATCTAAGTGGACAATTTAGAAAGAGTGCTCTTTGATATCAGCATTGAGGAGGATGCTGGGTACACCTGATGTGGTGAGAGATAATGGTACCCAGAGAATAGGCAGAAGGATCATCCACAGCAGGAAGGAAATCTTTGCCCCTCCCCACCCTCCCCTCCTCCTCTTCCTTCTCCTTCTTCTTTTCCTCCTCCTCCTCCTTCTTCTTCTTTTGATAATAGCCATCCTAATGGGTATGAAGTGGTATCTCATTGTGGTTCTGATTGGTATTTCCCCAATGACTAATGCCAATGAATATCTTTTCATATAAAAAAAAAAGGGAGAGCATCTCTCTGACCACAAAGAAGGGAGAGAGAAAGAGCTGAGGCTGTAGCTGAGGTAGTAGAAGGATGAAGAAAACTGAGGAGGATCTTGTGTGATGGCTTCTGTTTTCTCTGAGAAGTCGGGAGCAAGGTCATCAGTTGAGTCTGTGTGCCAGAGGAGGTGGCAGGGTTGGAATTTGAGGAGGATGCGGAGTTTGAAATAGAGTCTGTGACAAGTGGGAGAGAAGGCCAACCAGCAAAACCCAAAGAACTCCAAGCAGCACCAAGGGTTCCCCTAGTTAAGATCCTATGTTGGTAATGGCATCAGTCTTCACCATCGGATGGTTTTCCACAGCAACATCCAACAACCCAGGTGTAGATGCAGAGTTAAGTTGGTCCAGAGTGTGGCTCAGTTCAAGCTGGCGTGTCGGGGTATGAGTTAGGCAAGGGGGGTGATGAGGGTATTGGTGAGATAATGACTGGACATCATAAGTCATGCAGTCTATAGAAACTGAAAGGAGATTAGCAGCTGCCTGGGGCTGGATGGTGGGAACAGTAATTCTTAGAGTAGGCAGGAGCAATCTTATTGGCATGATGAAAGCGTTCTAAAACTGGATTATGGTGAAAGCTGTACAATTCAGTAAATTTATCAAAAACTATTGAATAGTATACTTAAAATAGATAGGTTTTATGGTATGTCAATTATACCTCAAGAAGTTGTTTGTTTGTTTGTTTTTTAAGGTTATAGGCCATGGAGTCTACACTGTATAGGAAAGAAGTGAAGAGAGTAAGGAGATGATTTTATTTTACTTATTTATTTTAACTTTTTTTTGAGAGAGAGAGAGAGAGAGCATGCAGGAAAGGGAGTAAGGGGCAGAGGCAGAGGGAGAGAGAGAATCTTAAGCTGAGTGTGGAGCCTGATGCTGAGATCATGACCTGAGCCGAAATCAAGAGTCAGATGCTTAACTGACTGAGCCACCCAGGTGCCTGAGTAAGGGGCTGATTTTTAAAAACGAAAACAGGGAGACCACAACACTGAAAATCCTACATTCGTCATGACACCAATACAGGCAAACAAGAGGTGGAATTAGGATTAGTTGTTGAATTGCTGATAGAAGGCTTTAGTCAGAGAGTGCGATGTTTCAATTTAAGGTTTCAGGTATAGAAAAAGTCCTCAAGTAATGACAAGGATGAAGGTGTGGCCATGAATTCAGGTGGCTGAATGGGGGAAGATATGAAGATTAAGAATCTGGAGGATTATCCACACGGATGTTGATGTCACTCGGGCTGGAGGAGATGGTCCATGAGTCAAGTGTTCAGGGAAGGAGGAGAGTGATGGTGGAATAGTAGGTGACATCGACGTGCAGGGGTCGTGGTGATGCAGCCAGGGGAACATGGTGTCCACAGCCCCCCAGGCACGAAGAAGTCATGGTTTGGAAACAGCAGTCATCAGTGAGGAGGAAAGTGATCCCAACTCTCAGTCCTGAGGTAGGTCAGAGGCAGGAAATGAGCCCAACAGAAGAGACGACAGAGAGAATAGTGCCCTTGGGGAAGAGTTAAGGCCAAGAGTTGGGCCAGATGACCAATAAGTGGTTGCAGCTGTAAGGTTTAGAAATGAACATTGGTAAGTGGAATAAGATGAAACAGAGATAGGAGCATGAGAGCATAGGAAGGCGGAAGGCCTTAAATCTTGAGCAGGGAAGGAGGACCGCAGGGATAAGCAGTATGAAGGATGTAGCTGTCTGCAAGCTTCCAGAAAGCATTGATCCTGGCCATCTTCCAGCAGATGGTGGCGATGGGACAGGACACCCAGGCTTCCCAGAGGACTTGGCAGTGACGTGGTCGGATGGGGATTCAGAACGAGCCCTGATCCAGGCCAGCAGGCCAGCAATAGCAGCACGAGTTCTAAGCATCGACTAAACAACTAGGGAACCGGAAGTTGGCCCCAACTCTGTAACTCACTACCAAGCCCATGACCTTGAGTACATCCTGCCATGTCTGTAGGCCTCCCTGTCTCAAGTGTCACAGTTCTGTGAGGGATACACGTGTGTGTACTTCTTTCCCGGCAGAGATTTTGTCGAGGAGAAGTTGGGAAGCCAATACGTGGTGGGAGGAGCTCCAGACTTTGCGACCTCATTTGAGGAATCAGGACCAGCCACACCCATGTTTTTCATCCTGTCTCCAGGGGTGGACCCCCTGAAGGACGTGGAGAATCAAGGTGAGGAAACCTCCTCTTGGAGCCAAGGCTGCCCCAGCCCTGGGAACTTTCACTCCTTGTGCCCTTCCATCAGTCTCTCTTTTCCTGGCTCAAAGCTCAGTATGGAGTACTCGGTATTTTCTGACATAGAGAAGTCAGGGTCGTTGCTGAGCCAACACCAGGGGACCGTCACCAGAGAAAGGACCATTCAGGGCGGTGTGTGGAAGAGTCCACGCTAGCAGGTTCATGAGGGGACCTGGCCCTGCCACCCACCCCCCCACTTCCCCCTTACTTTGCCTGAAGCAATCTTTCTGAAACACAAGTATGACCCTTCAAGGCTCCTACTGCCCTGAGAATAAAGTCCAAACTCCTTCACGTGGCATCCAGGGAACTTCATCCTCCCGTCCCTCCCTATTTCTCCAGCCTTCTTTCCATTATCAGTTTCCTATTGCTGCTGTAAAGAATTACCACAAATCTGGAGGCTTAAAGTAACTCTAATGTATTATTGTACAGTTCTGGAGATCAGAAATCATAAATGGGTCTTACCGCCTCCTCTTTTCCTTATAAAAAGTCCTATGATTATATGGGGCCACTTAGATAATCCAGGATAAGCTCCCCATCTTGAGGTCCTATATTTACTCACATTGCAGAACCTTTGCCCTGTAAAGTCATATGTTCACAGGTCCCGAGGATTAGGACAAGGACATCTTTGGGGGTCTGTCATTCTGCCTACATTCCCTTAATCCCCTCTTTTGCATTCTACATGGCAGCCATTCTCCCAAGGCTGCTATGTCCCCTCCTGAATCCGCTTCACCAGGCTAGCTTCTATTCATCCTTCAGATCCCGATTTCAAGTCACCACCTCCAGAAAGCCCTGCTGACTTCCAAGATTCTAGGTTCCCCTTCCGTGCACTCCTAGAGTGCCCTCCTTTATGTCCATCACCTTATAATTGTCTAGTGACTACTGTGTCTTCCCAAGAGAGTAAGAGCTCCTTGGGATCGGGTGTCCTTGTCACCAGGATATCCCCAGTTCCTAGCACTGTGATGGGTATTCAAGAAATATATACATTAAATGAAGGAATGAACAAATGAATGACTAATCAAAACTATAACGCTGGCAAAATGACATTCATTTCGCAAAGCTAAATAAAGACCTGACAGGTTAAAGCCAAGCCCAGGTAATACAGCTCCAAGAGCAGTCTCTTCATTATGTAAGGAAAGGACTCCACAGTCTATGCCTACGCTTGGGAGTCATTGAGATGAAGCTGATTCGGCCTAAAGAATGGATAAGATTAGGGTGCCTGGGTGGCTCAGTCTGTTAAGCATGTGACTCTTGGTTTCGGCTCAGGTCCTGATCTCAGGGTCATGAGATCAAGCCCCATGTCGGGCTCCATGCTCTTTTAAAAAAAAAAGAAGAAGAGTGGGTATCTATGGGAGGGAAAGAATTATCGTACGCACTAATTTTATGTATATTTTTATAGTGTCCTAAAATTTCAAGTGATGCACATTTTTAAAATATGGATAATAAAGAATTCAAAATGAAAAGCAATAGTTCGGGGCACCTGGGTGGCTCAGTTGGTTAAGCAACTGCCTTCGGCTCAGGTCATGATCCTGGAGTCCCGGGATCGAGTCCCGCATTGGGCTCCCCGCTCGGCGAGGAGCCTGCTTCTCCCTCTGACCCTCCCCCCTCTCATGT